GCAGGCTTCTTGGGCCCCTGTGGGTAGCCCTGGACAAATGTGGGAAAGACCAACTTTCAACCTACCTCTCTGTTTAATGTTGAACATTATTTTGACAACAAAAAAGTGCTAGAAATATAAAGGAGAATCATTCTTGATAAAATATTGGTAGGAATACAGCCCCTCCTTTCCCATCCTGGTGACAACACTTGTGCAATAATGTCAACTTGCACTGGCTGTTAGAAAGATATGAAACTATGAATATTTTTGTTATTTTGTTTGGAAAACCAGTCACGTCACATTTGCAGCAATATTTTAATTAGAAATGGTAAATGGCTTCTTAGCACTTGGAGGCAGCACACTATCATGTCATTAATCACTGTAATTATTGGAGACTCTCGGTGGTTTTAGTCATAACCTTGCCCAATGGTTGAGTCCATGTAATTATTTCACTTTTCTCTTGCAGAGAGCAGCACTTCAGCCTTGGCCATGTTGCTACCTCTGCATACCTGGAAACTGGGAAGGAGGAGTGTCAGTTTAGTGTAAAGTCCCTAGTTCTTTAAAGCCATTCAGGGAGTAAGTACAGAATTGTACAGAGATATAATGGGTACTGGGAACATTATGAAATGAATGGATATGAGTAGTTCATTGTAATACACATTAGGAGTAATTTATACTCAATAGTTATTCAGCATTGGAAGTAGTTTTGTATAGTTGGAATATAGGGTTTCATGTGACAAAATCTGCCTTCATGACAGTGTAGTGCATATAGAGTTGGGTTAGGATGAATTCCATCCACCCAACCAAGAGACAGCACACAGCTGCGGCACAGACCTTCTGAGGCTGTAACTCTACCTTACTGAAGCAACAGTGGCCTCAGTGGGGTTCCAGAACTAGGACCTGTGTAAGTGACAATTCAGTGGTCCCCTTCGCTGGCCTGTCCTCAGCACTCTTCTCCACATCGGCATATCTGAATCCAGAGTGCAGCCACACTGACACTGGGTCTATTTTTTTTAAGTTAACATGAAACGGAAGGACAGATAAACCCAGTGTTTTCCTTTCATGCTACAGAATCCACTGCTGCTATTATTACCTGCATGCTAGCAATGTTAGTGCAGTTAACGGATGACGCTAGCACTTTAATGCATCAGGAAGGCAGAAGGGGGCTGTGGCCATTTTTAGCACAACATGCTATTTTCTTTTTTAAGTGCTGACTCATTCGCTGTACCATTGATGTGTTTACCTTGATTTCATGCTGCTGCTTCAAATACTGTTGAATGGCTGAGGAAGGAATATCAATCAGTGGCACATAATATTACGCTCCCAAACTGTAGTGGTTGTTAGTTGTACATTTTTGCCTGAAGTAGTTTCCTTTTCTCTTCCAGCAGTGCTCACAGATATTTGAATACTGGAAACTGTAAAATCCGACTTTTAAGTTTATAATTTTACTACTGATACTTAGTTCACTTCCAGCTTTCTCCCTGAAAATCCTTGTCACACCCAGGGATTCATGTCAAACAGTAAAATAAATCAAATAATAGGCTTCAGCTTCAAATGTGTTGTATCTAATTAGCCAAAGAATCCGATAATTGACGATTTCCTTGCTCCCAACATCTTTCTATATAAAGGGAAAAATTATTTGGGGAGCAGTAGCAACCACTATAGTTAAAGCTGCACAAGAGTTTCCATTCTAACCTTCTGTTTTCAGTTATTCATATTTTTTCAAAATTGTCATCTTTCACATTGAAATTTTCCTGGCTTGGTCACTCCCCATAGATGAAAATTTGAGGACACACAGTTCAGCTGTTTCTCAGCAAGAGGAAAAGGAAGGATGATGCAGTGATTAGGGGGCAGCCTGGGACTTGGGACACCTAGATTTAAGCGTCAGACCTCAGGCTCTGCCACAGAGTTCCTAAGTGACCTCAGGCAAGTCACTGGTCTCTTTGGGCCTCAGATCATCACCTGTAATAGGGGGCAGTAGCATTTCCCTACCTCATAGGGGTGTTGTGAGGATAAATATATGGATGATTGTGAGGTGCTCAGATACCAAAAGTGATTGGAGCCATATAAATACCCAAGATAAACAGACAAAAGTTAAAAATATACACTTCCTCTGTATGAAAAAAAATATGTGCCCAGGATTCCATAGTTACATGACTATGATCTAAAGGGACAGTTCAATGTTTAAATTTGGTATGGAAAACACCCTTGTCTTTGAATGTCACGTACTTTTAACGCTATACCCAGAGAGGTGTTTACATGGATTTTTTTTCTGCAAAACTGATCATGTGGGTACCTCAGGTAAATGCTTTGCATGGCTGATTTAGCTGCATAATCAACATCTTAATACCTTAAATTAGTCTGAACTAGCCAGGATCCATTTCCAAATATGTCTGTGAAAAAGAGGTGCTAGCAGTGCCTTTACTTTTACCTTGGGGTCCTGAGAGCTGTCCCTACCTTTCAGATTGACCAGCCTTAGTAAATCTCATCATTTAGTAGGCACTCCCATATAAGGTAGGCAAATATTCTCCAATTTTACACATGATGTAACTGAAGCCCAGGGAGATTAACAAATGATTGAATCCACTTCTGATAGGAAATTTGTGGCAGAGCTGCTAACACAGCCCATCTATCTTCTATGAATGATTCATGTCTCATCTAAGAGATAGTACATCTAAAAGAAAATGCTTCAAAGCTATATTTTTAATTACGTCATCTGCAGAATGGGATTTCTCATACTTGCTTACCCAACTAGGTCTAGTGCAGAGGTGTTTAACACCCAGCCTGCTTGATGGATTTATGTGTCCTACATGTCATGTTCAGAGTCCACAGAATACAAACTTCAATAAAAAAATTAACCATCATATTTCTGAAAAAACTCTCTCTAATACAGAGCTAGGTGCAGTACTTTTTTGGGGGTATTTCTATGGCCTCTATTATTGTGGCATCTAAGCACCTCATAATCTTTAATCAATTCACCCTTGCAACATCCCATGATTTAGGAAAGTTCTATTATCTCCATTTTACAGATGCAGAACTAAGGCACAAAGAGGCTAAATTATTTGCCCAACGTCACACAGGAAAGTCTCTGGCAAAGTAGAAGCTTGAACCAGGGCTCTCAAATCCTAGTTTAGAATCCTAATCTTTGAACGGTCCTTCCTTTCTAATATTTGCAAACAGGCTAAAATAATGATTTTGAGAGGTATGAAGTCTTCTGCACCCCACTCATCTCATTGGGCTGTTGACTCTAAAGCCTAATGATAATGCTTCCAATTTCAGCATTAACTGTTTCACTACTGATCATTTGAGCAGAATGAAGTATGGGGGAGTGAGGCTAACTGGGGTTTAGAACTGAGAGCTGCTCAAGGAAGAAAGAAGGAGACACAAAGACAGGAGAGAGAGAGACAGAGAGAGCAACACAGAAAGGAGGGAGAGAAAGAAAGTGAAACAAAGGACCGGAAAAGGATAGATATGGAATATTTCTACAGATGTTTGACAAGATACAGCTCTTGCAGAATTGGCTGTTGTGGGAGCGTGCTATTCCACTGCCCACCCCGTGGTGGCATGGTGTGGCCCTGCTGACATGCCATTCTCCTGCTTCTCCCAAATTACTTTAAGTAACATATAACTGTAATCAAGTTATATTCACTTTCTTGGGGTCCAGTCTTTATAAAAATATAGTCTCCTTGGGCCCACCTGGCCCAAACCCTATCCCCTCGTTAAGGGAGTCCACAGCCCTCCTTCATGAGGCTGTGCTGTGCTTCAAGCCAGTTTCCCCAGAGCATCAGTAGCTGGGTTCCAGTGCTGTTTCACAGACTTTCCTTTCTCTCTCCTCCATTAACAGCTGGGTTTTTATCCTGTTCAGGAGATAGCTCCCTGATTAACACCTGGGCCCTATCCCCCTGTTTGTCTGCTGCTCCCTTAAACACCTGGTCCTTAAAAGGGCCATGTTGTGGCATAGGGTTGGCTGCATGTAGAACCACTTCCTTAAAGGGGCCAGACCACCCTGTTACAGTCCCTTTCAGCTTGGAGAGACCAAAAGCACTGCACAGGACTAGAGCAAACGTCCCTCTCTTGATTCTACATTTATTGGCTTCCACAGAAACCAAAGAGGTTTGGAGATACTCAAGATACAAAAGTTGAGAAGGGTTAGAGTTGGTTAATGCATGGGACAAACAATTTCTATAGGGAGAAAATCTGATTTTAAAAGAAAACGAGAGAGAAGGCACTCACAACAGCAATAGAGTTTTCAGGCCAGTTAAGTTGTCTAAATATCAGATTTGAAATATTTACTCTCCCTGAGGCCATCCATTCAAATTTCAACAGGAATGGCTCACACCTTCATCCTCATGGTAGATACACTAAATGTCATGCAGCTCAGTACCTGAGTTTTTCAGACCAAGCCTTAAAGAGACAGGACCAGATTCACTGGTACCCTCAGCTGCTTTGCACCACTTCAGGGATGCAAAGCAACCATAAACCCAGTTTCTCCAGCCAATTAAACTAGTTTGCATCGTGACAGCAGAGCAGCAAAAGCAACTGAGTTTACCAGTAAATCTAGCCCTGTGTTGTTAAGAAGGTTTGGGAGGAGATGTAGGAGTGACAGAACAGAAGGAAAGATCTCTCAATTTCTCACCCTGACTAGCTTAATATCTTTAATTTATAATTGTCTTCTATAAATTTATTCAAGACACAAACTGCTGTGCAAAGTGTCCCTTTCTGTAATCTGAAACACAGACTTCATCAAGATTTAAATACAGGATAAACTCAGGTACTGAAAACAAATTCATTAAAATTAGACTAGTTAACATTACGTCAATTTTATTCACATTTCAATCTGAATCCTATTAATAAAGAATAAATACTGCAGATTTCCCACCTCCAAGATATCTGCAGTAGGTGAATACCATAATCTTTGAGAGAGATTTACAGGGCACCTCTATAGTTTTACAATGACTTTCTGGCATAAATTATAACTAATTGCTTTTCTATTGCAAATATTAACCAAATCTGGCTTTTACCTGAAGGTAATGGCACGGCCTCAAGGAAGGTTTGATTTCCTGATGAACCAGAGGCTTATCTAGGTTAAGCGATGACTTGCGATAAGCTTCTTTAGCCTGGCTTACTGTAAGTGTAGACCAAGAACTCCTTTTCATGTATTTACCATCAGGGGTCATTGCTAGCCCTTCACAAGCAGAACATTTCACATCATTGTTACTTTTGGAAGTCTTTAGTGAGAGATCCCCAAAGTGCCCCTGGAGAGCTTCAGGGTAGCAGTGGGAGATATGATCTACATGATGCCTATTAATCACGCTAGGTGTGCGATAAGTGCTATCACTGTCCAAATTATCATCAGAGCTCCACCAGCTACTCATTCCAGATTTATGCTTGCTCTCTGGTTTTCGCTCCTTACTTTTACTCCTTTTGCTATGCTTGGAATGATGTCCATGATGATGGTCGTCCCCTCGACTGTCTCCCTTTGTCCCATTGACATTGCCTTTGGATGATCCTTCCAAAGAATGAGACTTAGTGAAAAGTTTCTGGACTGAATGAACAAGATGGCGTATTCTTCCTGGGCTTTCACTGCGTTGTTCTGCAGCTGTTGAGGTCCTCTGATATTGTAAAGTGTGAAACCCATCCCTGTGGAGAGGAAGTTGTTTCTCAAACTGATCCAGGAGATTGGCAGGAATTCGATTAATCTTAGGGTTAGCGTGAGACATGGCGCAATCGTCCCTCGTTTCGTAATGTGAGCTGTAGTGCATTCTGGGGAAAGTGCTACTTGACATGTGATCGCCCATAACCATGGGCATCATCATGCATTCTGAATGGATGGAGCTTCGCGGTGAGCAGCGATGATGGTCCAGTGGGCAGCTCTCTGTAGGGCTGAGAAGATATGATTGCCTTTGCTCCTGCCCATGGTGGATATGATCATGGGTGTGTTCACAATCTTCAGGGGATGCTAAACCACAAGTATGAGCAGAACATAATTGTGGTTGGTTGCGACTACCAGATAATCCTTTCATGTTCCTCGGAGCAGGCGAGAATCTTTCTTCATTGAAGTGCTGAGAAGGTGACCAGGAGTACTGCTGGTCTGTTGATAGAACACACACAGTTCAGTATTGTAGCTAATTAAAATATTAATTTTAAAAGTACAAATATATTATGAAAATAAAGCATTTTTTCATAGAAACTCAATGGAAGTTACCAATCAGGGACTACAATCTCCAAATTAAAGCTGGTTAAATATTTGCTGCAAACAACTTATTTGGTGAATTTAAACCTTTTTTGCTTGTTTACAAGTTGTCTACAAACAGATCTAGATTTTTCTGAATGTGTTCATTATGCAAATCTACTCAAATAATTTTGATGGATACATTTTGAGCATTTAATTAATTAATTGATATTTTGCCTTCATTACTCAAGCTTTGTGACTGGTCACCTAAGTCATGTGGTATTGTTTCTGTTCCCCAATTGGATGACCAAATCCTTATAAACTGTTTTGTCACAAACTGAACTTCATTTTCTGATTAAGTGAATCTCAGTTACAGACCCCAAATTTGCTATTCAAAAAACATATATACAAACTAAACTACAAGTAATAAACAGCAAATAATAAAGGACAATGAACACACTGACTTCAACCTGGTTTCCATGTCCCTAAACTTTTCATGAGCAGGTGTCTGACACTGTTTGAACATCTCTTATCAGTAAGGCTACGTTTTAGTCACGAGTATTTTTAGTAAAAGTCATGGACAGGTCATGGGCAGTAAACAAAAATTCACAGCCCATAATCTGTCCATGAGTTTTATTATATACTCTGACTAAATGTTGGGGGGAGGGGCGGCTCAGGAGGGCAGTCCTGGGGGGGCACTGTGGGTGCGCGGCCCGAAGGACGCCGCAGGTGCTCGGGGGCATGGGCGCTGCGGGTACTGGAGGGGGAGGAGGTTGGCAGGGCTGGGGCAGGTTCCCTACCCAGCTCTTGGGAAGCGGTTGGCCCAGCTCCTAGCTTCACATCCTGCCTCGGCTCCACCCCAGGCCGCGGTTCGGCAGCTCCCATTGGCTGGGAACAGTGGTCAATGGGAGCTGCGGGAGTGGTGTCTGCAGGCGAAGGCAGCATGTGGAGCTAGGATCTGAAGGACGGGAGTTGCTGTTGTCCTTCTGAGGAGCCCCCCCAAAGTAAGCACCACCCCACACCCCACACCCCAGCCCTGAGCCCCGCCCCCAAACTCCTGCTGCTGGGAGGTGGGGGGCCCCAAGACTGCTCAGGCGACCCCCAGGCCAGGCGCACTGACTGCTGCAGAAGATACGGAGGTCACAGAAAGTCATGGAATCCATGACTTTCCGTGACTTCTGTGACAAACACAGAGCCTTACTCATCATCTATCCAGATGCACTCCCATAGCAGTCACTTTCTTATACTGTACAGTCATCTCCAAAACATACTATTTGTCCCAGAGTACTGTAATGAGATATCATTTCTTTCAACCACTCAGATACCATATATCTACATGTAGAAGCTACCGCTTCTATTATAGTTAATTATTTGCTCCTGTAGTTTTTGTAGTAAAGTTGTGGCTACTAAACAGGAGTGATTACTAATCAAGGGTGGCTTGTAAATGAAGGTATATGGTATTCAGTTTTTGATTAATTCGTCTCCTTTTCTTATGCAAGTCCTTGCAGCTGTCAAATTCGGCAAACAAACATTTGAAAACCCAAAGAATACTTCAGTTTGATTTAGGCATTCATATTCCTCCTCAAAATTCAGCTTATTAAGGCAAACATTTCAAAAGCAGATAAATATCTAGGCTATTTAAAACCACTCCTTTAGAGGATCATCTATGCATTTAAGAATTTATACTTCCAACTCACTTCAGCACAGTCTTTCTGCAAACTTGCTCTTGAGAACGCAGTAATGGGTAAGTTACTGCAGGTGCATGCTACAAACAAGTAGAGACTTCAACGGAAATGGAAGCCAGAGAATATGCTCCTTGTCATAATCTGACATCAGCAACCAGCTTTCAAAGGTAACACAATAGTGAAGGAGCAGCTGGAGTGATCTTTATACACCTGTGAAAAGTCTCTCCCCCTCTCAGGTCCCCATTGGAAAATCAAAGCCTGGCTCTGAATACAGGCAAATGGGTATCTTCCTCTTTGCAAATAATACAATACCCATGATACAATAGCAATTCATTGATATTCTTTGGCAAGAGCAAAGTTATAACCAGAGCAGTCTGGTATATTGGGGGATACTTAAGTAATAATTTATTATATTTAATAGAATTTTAAGCAAGGTTTTAAAGGAAATTCAATATTCAATTAAAACAACAAAATCTTATTCTGCATCTTGGGTGAAATCCTGAACTCACAAAAGTCAAAACTGACTTCAATGGAATCAAGATTTCGTCCCCCGGCTTAACTGTGGTATTATATTAATCTTTCTCTACTCTTTTCTACTTCTGTTTTGTTTATATCAATCTATTTTACCTACTTCTGGCCTGTTATCATATTAAAATGAAAACTCATTGTTCTATACACAGATTCTATTCTAGTCTATTGTACTGTTTAGCTCAGAATCTCCTGCACAAATATGGCTACACAAAAGAAACAAAAAATAGAAATGTTCCATTGGAATGACCTAATTTTGATTATCCAATGAAAAGCAGAACTATTATATAGACAAAACAGTAAATTATTATAACAGTCCATTTGGATTTAGCCACATCACTAGCAGAGTATTTAATGGTAGTTAACCCACTATATCACCAAGTAGTATCATGAGAACAGTAATGTTCCATGCTTTGCATTTATAAAGCATCTCCCACTAAAGGATCTCAAAGAACCTAAGAAACATTACTGAATTAGTCCTCACAACATCTCTGAGAGATACTGTAGGTATTACTGACCTCTTTTTTAAAGATGGAGAAACTGAAATACACACAAACTTACGGCAACTTTTTCCAAAGTGGCCAGTGCTTTTAGTTGACAGCCCAAGAGCAGTGAAAGAAGGCCCCTCAGTCAAATCAAGAAACCAGCAAAAGTCAACTCTCCAGCACCTTCCGGATTGACTGGGAGTCTCTCGGAATCGGCCTCAATCTCCCTGTGACTATTAAAGGCAATATGGGAGATTTTAATAAGCCAAAGTCCGGTTGGCAGCGCAGAGGGGCTAAGGCAGGCTCCCTACCTGCCCTGGCTCCGGGTGGCTCCCAGAAATGACCGGCAGGTCTCTGCATCCCCTAGGCACAGGGGCGGCCAACGGTTCTCTACGTGCTGCCCCCAGCCCGAGCGCTGACTCCGCAGCTCCAATTTGCCAGGAACCGCGGCCAATGGGAGCTGCGGGGGCAGTGCCTTCAGGCAGGGGCAGAGCATTGAGCGACCTGGCCGCCCCTGAGCCTACGAGCCAGACATGCCAGTCGCTTCTGGGAGCCGCCCGAGGTAAGTGCCGCCCAGCCAGAGCCCGCACCACAGAAGGTTGCAAATATTTTCAGCTGGCTACAGCTCTAGGGGTGTGATCACGTTAGAATGGGTGATCTAACAGCAGCTTTTCCATCTCTAATGTCTATGATTCTTGCACAGTAAGATTGCTCAATGAATGGGTATAATTGCCTGTATACTGTTATACTGTATAAAATCACATCTTTCACATACTTGGGTGGGATTTATGTATTTTTGTCACAATTAATTGTGTCCTTGTTGACTACTGTGCAACTTTATTACAAAGCATATTTTAAAAAATTAAAAATAAAAAAGGAGATTTTTTTTCCCCAAGGAGAAAAGCTTATAATATATAAAATTCATAATTACATTGATATGCAAACAATCACCTACACCAAGGTCCCAAATCACTCAGCTAAGGGCTCTACTTTGGACACAAAACAGAATGCTCTTGGGCATCACTAGTTTCCCATTACCAGTCCTCTACAGAATTTCATTTACTTATTTACTTTCACTATGAATTTATCAAATTCTTGGAGTTTGTCCTGTACATTCCCTCTCCTCAGTCCCTGCCCTACTCCTGAGAACCCAAGTACTTGGCCTAATTTGAATATCAACATCAGAGCAAGCTTAAAAAAATATAATAAAAACAAGCTAGAATGTGGCAGGAGTTTTGCCCTGTTTCTTAAAGGAGACAATAAAAATGACAGAATGATCTTATTCAGTCACTTTTCTACAAGAGCAGGCCGTATGTTTTCTTATAACAATATTTTACATTTTTTCATAATTGAGGATACTAATGTCTCCTACAAAGGAAGCTGCACTGCCATTTAGTATACAAAACCAAGGAAGCTTTGAATATAGCAAATTAGAGTAATCCAGACCAGTTTGGCCAGAGTAACTAGGGGCTGAGGAAATAAATCATGTTAATCCTGCAACAAGAGCAGTGGCTTTTATTGGGGTTCTATTGGAGAAAGAGAGGAATCTTTCACTGACTTCAAGGGACTTTGGATGAGGCCACTAGAGACAACAGGACTAGTCCATATATACGATTTATTCCTTTCATGGTATTGACCCAGATATATGTTGTCATATATGGATAGCATATAAGGATGGCATTTGACCCTTAGTTTGAAGACCTATTAGCAATTTTTAAAATCCTGTAAAACTCTTTAAAGCTGCCCTTTCTATGCAATGGAACACTGTATGAAGATGCACCAAACTTAAACTCTGATGGATGTCAGAATTCCCATCCATTCCCTCTCTTCCCCCATTACAGCCTCTGTCCCCTCCTCTACCTTCTTCCACCTTCTCCTGGGTACTCCATTCCACTTTCCAATTTTAAAAATGCTGCTCTTTTATTTCAAGTAGCTGCTAGGCTGTTCTCTTCCCTCTAGGCAGTGGCCATAATTCTTGAGAACATGACAGTTTCTCTACCTTGTGTCAGCATCAAGGGAGGAGAGGCAGCTAGCATCAGCTTTAATTACTGAGAGCATTGCTTGAAATTGTGAAGTAGTTCTGTTAACATTAGTGTGCTAGGGCAAGGGGCCTGAAAACCTTTAAGCAATGAAAAATCAAGGCTCTGCATCTGTAACTTCCTGGAACTCTGCTATTTGCTAAAGGGAATCAGTGTGAAAACAACTGGAAATGCCTCAGACA